GTTTTAAGCTTAAGGAAATAGTTTCCTTAAGAACTTTGACTGAGTTAATTTTGCTGTAGTTAATAATATGTTTGATATCTTCCTGTTATAGACCAGCATAGGCTTTCTGTTTCTCTTGCAGTAACTGAGTAGCAATTTCCCCTTGGTATATAGGTGTGCTGCACGGATGAGCTGTGCACCTCAGTACTACACATCTGTGAGTGAAGTTCATTTGTGTCAGTAGATGACAGTACCTAGGCAGGAGGCATGAGATTTGGTTTAAGTGCTGCTTTGCAGGTGCTTTAGTCTTTTATTTTTCTTCCTCTGTAATAGACACAAATCAAACCACAGCATTTTACAGAAAACAAAGCTAGAAGATGAATCTGTGAGCTTCTCATCTACTAACTTCTGTGCATGTCATGTGAAAAGAGACAGTGGAATTTGAGTGTGTGCAAAATCAAATGTGGGACTAGGTAACTTGGGGAGAATGGAAGTGTCTTAGTCCAGACAATGAGAGATGGAAATGAGAGTGAGTTTAGCAATCTGACAAGGACACCAGGATTTAGTTTTGGGACAAAGTGTTAAGGGAGAACGGTGCATCTTCCTGTGGCTTACTTTCTAGGTCCAGCAGTGACACACTGGCCTTCTCCTTACTGGACACCTAGGAAGTGACTGTTGTGTATACACCTCTGTGTTTATTTGCAAAATACTTAATGATACAAAATCAGTACATAATAAAAGGTGTACTTGAATATGCATGAAGCCACAAAATAACATGCTAAAGACAGTGGTGTATATTAAAGTACATCCTGTTCTCTAGTGATTAAACTTATGTGTATGTAGTGTGTAGGATGAAGCACTTTGTTAATTGATCTTGACTGGAGACAGTTTTGAGTTGTGGATCTGGCTTCCCCAATAGAACAGAAATGATGAAACATTTGCCACAGAATGAGATATTGCTGCTGGAATAATAAATGACTTGTGTGTTGAGAAAGCAGTTGTCAGTGTAATGAGATAACAAAACATCATTGCATGTTTGGGGAAAAGGTTATCTGGTGCTGGTTTAGTTCATCTGCTGTGGCTGGCTAATTTAAATTGTCTCATTCCTCCTTTTAAAAAAAAAAACAAAAACAACTGTATTGATACCCAAGGAAACTCAGTGAAGCTGTATGAGCCTTTCCTAACAAGCTGGCTGGTATTGCTACTTGTTTTGTTAGCCTGTATTTGTCTATCCTTGAACCTTGTTGCTGGCCTATGGGTAGGGACTGATGTGTGATCAGAGAATAACAGGGTACTTAGTGATGCTTGACTGACTAGTAACTCTAGGAATGCTACCTCTGTTGCCTGCATCTTATGGAGGGAATTTAACCATGTCTCTATGTTTATTTGTTTGTATCTCTTGAGAATAAGAGAAAAATAGCTGTGCTGTGTCAGGACAGAGGCCCTGGCTTGTCAACCTGTATGTGAATATAATTGATAGTGGATGCCTAAGGAGAAATAAAAGAAACAGGAAATACATAGACTAAATTTGGCATGCTGTCCTGGGATTTGGTAATCACTAACTTGGGGATTTACTGTTCCCAGACCACACTATCTACAAGTCAATAGTGCTTAATGCTCTGTATCTTGCCAATGGAAGGTCTTATTGCTTTGGAATTGGAACCAAATTCCAGAATAAACAAGCCTCCAAACAAAGGGTTTGTATTTGTTATCACAGTAATGTTGAAATGCATCTTCCTTGGTAGAAATGTTCAAATATCCTTGTGACAGGGGCTCCCACTTGTGACCAATAAACTGGCAAAGGCCCTTTGCTAGAGGAGACTGATACTTGTTCAGCAGATGCTGACCTCCTTATGACCCTGATCAGTCCTGGAGATGGCTACCAAATTCCTGTGGACTTTAACAATTTTCCAGTTAGTTTAAATTCTCAGCTTCCTTTTGCGGAGAGTGCGTATCTGCCATGGGTAAAATGTGATAGCAAGTTCTGGTGGTCCTGGTGGAAATCTGTATATTGACAGAATTGCACAGACTAGTTGGCTCTAAACAGGATAGTGCTAATATTGACTCTTTTTAAAGAGGCTTTGTGTGTAAAAACCTGTCCTGGTTTTAGCAGTGGCAGTCATTTTTCTCTTTCTTGGTAGCTGGTACAGTGCTGTGTTTTGACTATTGGGCTGGGAACAAAGCTGATAAAAATGATGTTTTGGTTTGTCCAAGGACTTTGTGAGCCTCATGCTCTGCCAGGGAGGAGGGGAAGCCGGGAGGAAGCAGAGACAGGACACCTGACCCAAACTGACCAAAGAAGTATTCCATACCACAGCACATCATGGCCAGGATGTAACTGGGGAGTTACCCAGAAGGGCGAGGTGATCTGAAGGGTTGGAGGAGGTATCGGTAGGTGCTTCGTCGGGCTGGGAGGGGGGGGGCGAGTTATCGGTCACCTGGTGATGAGGTGTTGTATTTTCTTCCCTTGTTATTTCCTTTATCATTACTATTATTGGTGGTAGCAGTAGTGATTTGTGTTATACCTTAGTTACTAAACTGTTCTTATCTCAGGCCATGGGAGTTGCATTCTTTCTGATTCTCCTCTCTGTCCCTCCAGGAGTAGGGGGAGGGCAAGAAGAGGGGGGGAGTGGGTGAACAAGCTGTCTGGTTGGGGTTAAACCATGACAGTTCTTTTTGGCCCCCAACGTGGGGCATGAGGGGTTGAGATAACGATAGATCTGACTGGATTAATAGTCACTCGTCACAATGCTGATTCACTGGCTCTCAGAGTTGTTCCTCTTGATCTCACAGCTTCAGAATGTTGTAACTTACTTAGAGCCGGTATTTGCTGTGTTAGTGTTTATCAAGTGTGGGGCTTGGGCTAAGGTTCCTGTCTCAATGTACTTTATGGCAATGGCTTGTAATACGGGCGGGCTCCAGCAGCAGGGCGGGACGGACGTGGCCGTGGACTGGTCCCTGGCCGTCCGGCTGCTCCTCACCGTCCTGGCCCTCGCCCTCGCCTCCGTCTGCGTGAGGCCGCGGGGAGCCGAGGGGGAGCAACCCCGGGAGCCGGCGGCTGCTGCTGAAGCGGCCCGGGAGAGCTGCCCCGGGCACCAAGTGGGGCCGGAGGCCGGCAGGGAGCGGCTGCCGGTGGAGGAGGTCGGGGCGGTCGAGGAGCGGGAGGAGGCGGCGGAGGAGCCGAGCCCCGCGGCCGAGCCCAGCCCCGCGACGGCCGAGAGCATTCCCCGGAAGCCGCCCGCCGAGCCCCAGGAGGACGCAGGAGACCCCGCAGCATTTCCCAGCAAGGCAGAGGAGGAAGAGCTGGACTCAGGAAAAGAGAAGCTGGTGGTGGGAGAGCCGGCAAGCACAGCAGCTACACCAGCCCCAGTGACAAGTACAGCAGCATTGCTTGAGAGTTCTGAAGGTTTTGAATGGCCTTTGGGTATCCTTGGGACCTGCCTGCTGATTGTGATGGGGATCAGCATGTTGGCACACACACAGAGTGTGTTTTACCCACCACCATTTTGTCTGATCTCAAAAGTTAAGCAGAGTCAGGTTTGGGTCTTGTCTGGGGTTAGACGACGATATGGGAGGACCAAGAGGTTTCCCCCAAGGATGGACAGCCATGAGTGGCAGGGTGTGTGGGACAGTATGGGCAAGTATCTAGTCCACTGGGCCCCTCCAGTGCTTTGGAAGCATTGGAGATGGAAGGCAGCTGTATGGAGTCCCCAGAAATAAGCTGCAGAAACTGCTGAAGGGGACAGTGAATTATTTTGAGCCTGGTGGGCTCATGACCCTTAAGGCCATCAGAGCAGAGATGCAACACAGAGATGGACTCATGATCGAGGGGTGGACTTAGCAATAGATACTATTGCCCAGGTTATTGACAAGTGTGAACACTGCACACAGCCTCTCGTGTTCTGAAACCCTGTTACAAGAGATGGAGCCTGACATTATGGACCAGATGGACTCAGCAGCTTTATAGGGACTGGCCCATGCACTACGATGAGAGTGCACTTAGATAAGAGTGATGGTATATTGAAAATGTGGGATCTGAGCATGACGTGAATGGTATGGAATAAGGGGTGGATAATGTCCTGGGTTTAGCAGTAGCAGTCATTTTTCTCTTTCTTGGTAGCTGGTGCAGTGCTGTGTTTTGACTGTCGGGCTGGGAACAGAGCTGAAAAACAATGATGTTTTGGTTTGTCCAAGGACTTTGTGGGCCTCATGCTCTGCCAAGGAAGAGGGAAAGCCGGGAAGAAGCAGAGACAGGACACCTGACCCAAACTGACCAAAGAGGTATTCCATACCACAGCACGTCATGCCCAGGATGTAACTGGGGAGTTACCCGGAAGGGCGAGGTGATCAGCAGGGTTGGAGGAGGTATGGGTTGGTGCTTAGTCGGGCTGGGGGGGGGGGGGGCGAGTTATCGGTCACCTGGTGATGAGGTGTTGTATTCTCTTCCCTTGTTATTTCCTTTATCATTACTATTATTGGTGGTAGCAGTAGTGATTTGTGTCATACCTTAGTTACTAAACTGTTCTTATCTCAGGCCATGGGAGTTGCATTCTTTCTGATTCTCCTCTCTGTCTCTCCAGGAGTAGGGGGAGGGCAAGAAGAGGGGGGGAGTGGGTGAGCAAGCTGTCTGGTTGGGATTAAACCACGACAAAGCTGCAGAGCAGTACTCTGCAGAGGCATGAACTTGCTTACTGTTGTTTTGCCAGGTTGCCTCCTCTCAGGTGTTGCCTGTTGCCTCAGGTCTTCCTTTGGTGGGACTGTTGGAGTCTATTTGCCATATGTGTTATTTCATTAATATTTCTATCCTTTTCTTTACTATTTATAAATATTTATAAATATTTCCAAAAATTAAGGCTGATTTTTTTTCTTTCTTTCCATGATTAAAGACTCCACTGATCAGGGAAAATAATATTTTAATAGCAAAATCAACTTATCAGTGGTACCTTAACGGATAATAGAGAGGAGCAGATGTTCAGTAGGGATGAAAACATCACTGTGTTCTCCTAGTGTGTTTTCTTCCAATGTTTTCTTCCTCAGGCACCCAGCTCAGAGGCATTCCTCTGAAGACTAATTGCAATGAAAGGGCAGTTCTGTTGTAGATACGTAAGTGTGGTTGTTGCAGAATATGTCATGTTTCATTCCTGTCCCTACCCCCATGGCTGTGAGTGTAAGAAATCAGCTTTTCACCTTGCTTTGTGTGTTGGTATGGGCATGTTCTCATAAAGCCCAGAAAGGTACAGCATTAAAAATCACATACCTGTGTATTTCCTATAATGCCAGCGGGATAAGGATGTCCTGTTTATCATATCCTCTATGGCACGAGTTTCACATTGCTGAACTTTGATATTCTCTAGTTCATTTAAGACATAGAGCACGATGTGTTTAGAGAAAGCGTTGCGGAAGGCATGTAGTAAACAGCAGGAGCTGGCTTGTTGTTCAGACCTGTCATGAGCCGTTGAGCAGTTTGGAGGCTTTGGTGTGAGGTGCTTTGCATGGCTTCATGGGGTACTGTGGAGAGCCTGTGGTGCTGGTTGGATTGAGACAAGCACCCTGCCCACCTGGATACACCTGCACTGACTGGACATGGTTTGCGACTGCCCTGAGAGTAATAGGAGGCTTTTCTTCTAGTGAACAGTCTTAGATTTGGTGAGCTTTACAATATTACTCAGACATTTATGACTCCTTACTAATTGCAAATGCATTTGCTAGGATTGCCTGTAGTTCCTCACTCAGTGTGGTGGTTTTCTATTTCTTATCTCTGTGGTATTTAACTGTTTTGTGAATTTGGTGCCCACAGCTGTGAACTCAGGGCCTATTTAATGAGTGAAACATCAGATGTTCAAACATCATTGGGCAGGATGGCTGCCAGTGCTGCTAGCTAACACTGTATATAATATTTTTCATTGACTTCTTGCAACAGATGAGTATCCACGTGTTGTAAATGGCAAAATGGAGGAAAAGGGACTTGCCAATGTTGGCTGGCAAACTGGATGTTCAGAGTCCTATGGCAGTGATTTGTCTTTTGTCATTTCCTTCCTCCCTCACCCACATCCCCTTCCAATACACCATAGAAATATGTTCAAAGCTCAAGAAAACTCAAGTACAAGCAAAGAAGTTATGCTTACAGTGTACACTACGTCCAAAGAGGCAATGATAAAGTAATGAATTCCAAGTTATTTGCCTTTTGCCTGGAATTTGCTTATGAATTTAGGTAAAGTAGCTGCCATTTATTTACTCACTGTTCTCTTTGAAGGAGAAAACACTGGGTTTGTGTTTAATAGGCTCATTGGTTTTGAGTCACCAATGTTTAACTCACCTTTCAGGCTCTTAATGCATTGAAATAATGAGGTATGGTGGAAGGAATTTGCTTTGCATGCCTCATTGCGAATGCAGTAATAAATCAGCTTTGTCCTACAAGATGCTCAGCTCCCCTTAGGAAGTGCTGACAGCACACTTGTTTCCCCATACCTTACATGCACGCAGGAACGTGTTGTAACTAAAGCAAAGCAGTGAGCTTGTTGATCTTGTGTGTGTTTGTCTGCATAGTATTAAGTACTGCTATCTGGCACTTCTCACTGGTTTGGTTAGCTCTCACAGCAAGGATGCTTTGATCCAAACCATTTTTCAGCTATTTGGCTAGGAAACAGGTAGTAAAAAGCAGTGTGATTCTGAGCCACCCCCCACCCCCCCAAAAAAACAAACAAACAAAAAAAAAAGAAGGGTAGGGAATATAAGTTTTTACTTTTTTTTTTTTTAATTAATTTATTTATGGCAATTAAAAAAAAATTCTCATACTTATTCAAACTTGGACCATGAACCTTGATAGCCTGTCCAGATCAGCATTCCTAGAAATTGGCTAGTTTCAGCATCTCTTCTTCAAAGAACAGGTAATGACTTTCCCTCAAAATATTTGTGCCCTGCTTTGAAGTGTTGCAGGTATGGAATTCCCAGTGACTTTTCCCTCTGGAGCAGTGGAATTGAGTGTCATCTTTCACCTGTGCAACTTGTCCTGTATTAACAATGTTCCCTAGAACTTGTTGCAGCTTTGGGAGTTTTCCACATTGCCTTCAGAGGTCTGTGAGCCTCAGCTGTGGTGTTTTTCTAAAGCTCTTACTGATGTGCTTCTCTGGAAGACCAGGTTGCCTATTTAAGCAGGAAGCAATGAGGTTTTGTACTGATGGTACTGAAGAATGGAGTATCCCTCAGAACAATAGATTTGATCTCAGTTCTGGTTTTGATTATGGTTGTTGCATTCTCCTTCCTTGAAGCAAATGCAATTCCTGATTTTTCCTGCTCATTTTGTGCTGGAAGTAGGAATGTTTACTCCTTTGTTTCCTGCTCACTCTAACCAGAAGCTTTGCTTGCTCTGTCTACTCCTGGTTTCTGTGGTAGTTCTCACTCACCCTATGACAATATATCCATCTCTACTCTGAAGGCACAGTCAAACTAGGCACAAGGGCAAGTTGGCTGGAGTTCAGAAAAAGTTAAGTATTCAGGGTGGAGGAAATACAAGAGTGCCCACAGGCCAAGTTAAGCTCTGAATTTTAGCAGCTTGACACCTGCTTGGTACAGGAAATCTGCTGTGAGTTTTCTCCCAAGTAATCTCTCTTGAATGAAGCTGATCTTCATGAGGATGAGTGGGTTCTACTGTTTGTCTGTCTACTTATTTTAAAGTTTTCAGTTTGGGTAATATTTACGTTGTGTTAACCAAATTATTGCCTGAAGTACTGCTGTTGATTTTCTACTGTACTCTTTACTTATGTATTTAGCTCAGTATGTTTCACTGGTGCAACTCCTTTTAGGACATAACAGGATATTGCCCTCAAGAAAGAAGTGAGTCAGTTGTGGGACACACAAAGTACTATTTCTGCTTTGTAAAATACCACAGAAAAATGCCTGTTTCTCACAACTCTGCCCGTTGAGACTTCCAGTCAGGACTGGGTCCTGTTTTGCTTGCCATTGTATAAACACATGGTGCTAAAGCCCTGGCTCCCTTGCAGAACTGGAATTTGGCATCTGCTGAATTACTCTGATCTGTGAGCCTGATGTGTTTTGTTCACAAGACAAGAGCAGACTGCTGCAGAGTGTACTGCAGAGTGGAGAGCAGCAGGTACTGCTCTATTGTGCTTCAGCCAACTCCATCCATAGCTGCATGAGTTGCTGTAAAAGTGCAGAATTCTGCAAGTCCTACAAAGATAAAGTTTCCATAGGGAGTTTCCCTGAGTTTTGGGCTTGAGCTCCAGCTTCTTCTGGCTCTTTGAACTGTACGCTTCCTATGTATTGTGTTTGTAGTAGGATGTGACAGTTAACCTGGGTCTGAAAGTATCAGGATTTTAAAAACTGATGGTGTGTTCCACAGCATTGGTGAGCTTCCACTTATATGATGTGTTTAGAGGCTGAAATATAATCTCCAATGTTTTGGTCCTGTCTAGTGCATTTCCTTGGCCAGTCACAGTGCACTTTTCACAGGGGGTAGAACTGTCATCCCTATTTTACAGGTGGAGAAGTTAAGAAACACAAAGGAAAAATGATTGCACAACACCACTGTTCAGAAAAGAGAGCTTGCTGTGGCCCCCTTTATGCTCTTTCCTTCCCCAGCTCTCTTCCTTTCTCCTTCCCTCCTTGCTGGCTGGAGCATTGCATCTTTGCTGGCTTTCTACTTTTATTCTGCCTTAGGTAAAACAGATGCTCTCTACCAAACATTAGTGTTCACTCAGGGGAGAAGATAAGTATTGGCCTTCAGCTCATGCTTTTGTTTTGTTAAAGTAAGCCATCATCTTAGGCTTATGTGTCCAGTGGTGCAGTAGAGTAAGCAATACAGACTTGTAGGTGTTTCACCCTCAGTACAACAAGATTCACACAGTGTGGAATAAGCTAACTTAAATTTGTATGCATTTCAAGTAGCATTCACAATAAAAATATCAGGGCTGGGAATTCAAGGTCTTAAAAGGAAACAGGTGTGATTAATGCTTGTTGTGGTTTCCTTTTTTTGCCTCTTGTAGCAGAGTTTTGCTGTGGATTCTTTGTGATCCTGATCCTGGGCAACTTCTGGTTCCTTGCTGTTCTGTACCTGCTGTGGCTGTACCTTGACTGGGAAACGCCATGCACAGGGGGCCGACGGTCGCAGTGGGTGAGAAGTTGGACTGTTTGGAAGTACTTTAGGGAATACTTTCCCATTCAAGTGAGTAAAAGGTTCCTCACAGAACTGTATGCATTGTAACAGAAACAGCTTGAGTAGCTGTGAGTGTGGGTAAACATTTAAGACTCATCTTTGGTAAAATTCTAATACTTATGCCAGGGTGGACTTGTGTTTAAAATATGGAAAGTCTGAGATTTAGTGACAAAAAGAGGCAAGGGCTGATTTTCTACTTGGCGATAGTAGTACCTCAGCACAGTAAATGCTAAAGATGATATCATGAGACACGTCTATTTAAACTTATATCCCCCTGTAATACAGGACAGTGCTCAGAGGGAAATGAATTGTCATCGATTCTGTGTCCTGTCAATGTACAATCTTCATACTTGTTGTTTTTGGGAATCCTTCTGAGGTAAGTATTATGTCCTCCACTGTCTCTATTTTGCAGCTTATAAAAACTTCAGATCTGAATCCAAATCACAACTACTTATTTGGCTTTCACCCTCATGGAGTCCTGGTAGCTGGAGCCTTTGGTAATTTTTGCACCAGTTCAAGTTTCAGCAGTTTATTTCCTGGCATTACTCCGTATCTTCATATCATGCCCATCTGGTTTGGCTGTCCCTTCTTCAGAGAATACATAATGAGTGCTGGTAGGTAAAAGCAGAATGTTTCAGCTGTTGTTCCGTATTATAGCTTCTGCTTCAAATGTAGGGTCTATGACTGTACCTATAAATGGTAAGTAATTTAACTTCAGAAGGATCAGCACTGGTGCTAAATTAAACATCTGCATTATGATAAACTCACTGCAAAACAATTAGAAAGGCTTTATGAATAGTTTAACAAAATTATATCACTGAGCTTTTTTCTTTTTTTCTTTTTTTCTGGGAAAAAAAACCCCAAACCCAACCCCTGCTGTTTTTTCCTTGAACAGCAGTACTGCATACGAGGAAAGAAGGTCATATTGATTTACAGCATTGCTTAATCATTGCACTGACACTTGTAAAACAAATTGAGAATAGTCTCTTACCTGGAGGTCTTAAATCCTACTCATTGCAAGTATTAATTACCTACTTCTGGCTGAGGTCCCATATTGCATGTTTGTATAATTTTAATGGAGATGTAAACTCTAAAGACAGGAGCCTTGTGTCTTCTCTGTTCTGAGTAGTATTTGTCATAAACTGGTGATATTCATGACTGGTACTGCAGTAATGAAAGATAAAAATAACAATCAATAACATTTGGGGAACAGAAGAATGTGTAAAGAAATTAAGACTAGTGTTACCCCCTAGTGACCTTTAACCCAGGTGTTGTTTTATTTAAATTCATTAAACTAGAGCATTTTAGTAAATATGGTCTAGTGCACAGACTAGGTCTGGGAAACAGAGATCTAGCTCTTATTCCTGACTGGAACATAGAAACTGTGATCTCAGATAAGCTATTCAACAGTTGAATTTGTAGAAACATGCCTAGGATGATGTTCAGATTAATACCAGAATTGCATATCTATGTATACTTCAACATACCAGATAATGCCGTTCCATGCAAATATATTTCTGAGGGGATTCTTTCAGGCTTGCAAAATTAAGGGATTGCCTAACCTGGAAGTCTGCTTTACACTTTGGCATCCTACCCATAGGAACACATATTTATCTGCTAGATAAGAAATACCATGAGTAAAAAGCATGCTAAAAAGTAGTCAGAATTGTAGTTTTTTTTCACAGGTATGTAGCTGATAAACCAGAGGGGACCTTTGGTATAGGATAGGTTATCTGTCAAAACATAAAACACTTGCAAAATCTTCTGTGCAGTAAAAGCCATGCTCCTAGCACATTGTTTTTTCTCCCAGTTCTTTGCTCCCTGTCTCCAAAGGCTGCCAGGCTGCAGTTGTTCTCATCAGGAAAGGCTGTTGCAGCACTACTGAGCTCCAGTGTGAGTGGGGGGGAATAGTGCCCAGCATGTGGGGTGACCTCTCTGCTTCAGCAAGGGAGGTAAATTTGTGCTGGGGAAGGACAATGGCTTGCTCTTTCTCTTCCAGAGAAAATGCATGCCAATGAATGAATGAGTATGACTCTCATTATTTGTGACTGTCAGGTCAACTGCGTGTTTGAATCAGAGTGACGACTCTGAAGACATATGGCAAGTGGAAGTAGCTTTTAACTGAAGTCTGAACTTGCTCCAGTAGCAGGCTATTACTCTTGGTGGCCAGCTGTCAAAACTAAATCACAGTCATCTTCCCTCTCTTGTGAGATTTTCATAATCCACACTAATGTCCTTCACAGGAGAAAAATCAAGCATGTAACAGGATATGAAGTCTGTGCTTAACATCCAAAAGAGCACACTTTGATACTAGCACTAAAAACCTGCAACAATGCAAACTAGACTTGATCTCTGAATTGTCATTTCAAGTATAATAATTCAACACAATGTAATTAAACATGGCTTCTGGGTAAATGGTGCTAACCTGAATATTTGAAGTAAAATTTAGGGCACAGAGGTACTCTGGAGGGGTTAAACACATGTCTGTTAGAAGGAGGATCTTTCAAAACACTAAGTTCAGAGCAAGGTCTAAGTCAGTGTTAAAGGTCTGTACGGAAATGTGCCTCTGATTAGAAAAGTACCAGGATCAGCAGGAGTACCAGGAAAGCTTCATTTATTCTGCTGTTTTAGCCTAAATAGATTAATGAGTGCAGGTACTGGTTGCTAGAGAGTGATGCAGTCAGTGGGAATAGTATAAGTGAACATTTTCTGCTGCTTCTGATGCTATTGTGCCATTGCCTTAGATGGAGCTGCTGCTTTATTGCTTTGGAAAGAAAGAAGGGGATCAGCCTGGTACTGTAGAGCTGTGTTTGAGTTAACAAGTCCTCTATTCATTCTGTTAAACCCTCTGTGCTTGTGTTTATATGCACCTGCTGTATGGCTTTACCTGCTGCCTCTTGATCGTATCTGCTGCCATTCAACTCTTCTGTTCTTGGGACAGAACCTCTCTGAGGGGCAGTTAAGTTGGCAGAAGAGCACACTCTTCCCTGAAGATCTTAAAACTCCTGTGATAGGCAAAAAGTATTTAGCTTGTTAGTGTGAAATCAAAGGACTTGGGTAAGACCAAATCTGTTGCAGATTAAGGGGGTCGAACCGAAATCTTTGAAATCTGTCCTGTGTTGTAATAATTTTGAAATATCATTTAGATAGTTAAAAATATTTCTTAAATTCCACTGTACTTGTACATGAAGATCCAGTGGTCACTCTTATAATGTTTGCTTCTGAAGGCATGGTTTCTGCATCTAAGGAGAGTGTCTCATATGTGCTCAATAACAAAGAAGGCGGCCATGCCTCCATCATTGTGATCGGAGGAGCAGAGGAATCTCTGAATGCACGTCCTGGAAGTTTAACATTGAGCATCCTCAAGAGGAAGGGCTTTATTAAAATGGCCTTGAAACATGGGTAAGTTTCCCGTCTGGGCTGGTATAGTAAGCGTGTTTTGAATAAAGATTGATTCTTATATATACTTCATAGAACAGAATCATAGAGTCACTTAGGCTGGAAAAGGACTTTAAGATCATCAAGTCCAAGCCTCCACCCAGCACTGCCAAGTCAGCCACTAAGCCCCATCCCTTAAGTGCCACATCTAAATATCTCCAGGGATGGCAACACAAGCACATTCCTGAGCAGCCTGTTCCAATGCTTGACAACCCTTTCAGTGAAGAAATTTTTCCTGGTATCCAATCTAAGCCTTCTCTGGAGCTACTTGAGGCCATTTCTTCTTGTCCTGTCGCTTATTACTTGGCATAAGAGACTGATCCCCACCTCACTACAACCTCCTTTCAAGTGGTTGTAGAGTGATAAGGTCTCCACTCAGCCTCCTTTTCTCCAGGCTAAACAACTTTCACCAGCTTCATTGCCCTTCTCTGCACGTGCTCCAGCACCTCAATGTCTCTCTTGCAGTGAGGGGCCCAGAACTGAACACAGGATTTGAGGTGCAACCTCACCAGTGCCAAGTACAGGGGGATGATCACTGCCCTAGTTCAGATGTCCACACTACTGCTGATACAGGCCAGGATGCTCATGGCCTTCTTAGCTGCCTGGGCGCAGCCTGGCTCATGTTTAGCAAGCATCTCATTTACTGTGCAAGAAAAACATGGTTGACTCTATAAATAGAGATGCAAGGAAAACGAATGCTCAGTTTAAAGTGAATTACTTATGTACATTCCTAAACTCATATAATTAGATTTTTAAAAAGGTACTTGTCTAAGAACCTGCAGATGTCTGGCATAGGAGCCAGTCTGTCCACCTAGATCCAGGCTGGGAGTGTTGCAAACTCCCTTTGACTTATCATAGTTTGTAAGCAGTAGGTGTTATTAGCATATCTTGTTTTGTTTCAGCATATCTTGTTTTGTTTCAGTTGCTTTTTGCACTAGCAAAGAGTAATAATTATGAAACTGTATTAGTAAACCTTGGCTGTTACTGCTGAATGGAGCAGTCAGTCTGTTTTCTGTTTTGTAAATTAAGAATTTTTTATATTAAAATTGTTATATTAAGATAGAGTTTTATTATAATTTTGAGTAAATAAAAATATAGAAACTTAAGTCCTGTTTTATTCAATCACTGAAAACTGTTATCTAGGAAGATTTATTTTCACCTTTGTTCTAAAGATTTCCTTTGAAGGCAGTTACTTGCAGAAGTAAGTTTCTGGGAATTTTTGGTGAAAATCTGAATTTACACTTCACACGGTGTAATCTATTGTGCTTGTTCTGGACTGGCCTAGATGTCTTGTATACTAGAAACATTGGAACCGATGGGTTGTTCTTGCTTAAGCTTTCTGAACAGCTCCCAGGATTGTATATTAGCATGTGAAGCAATAAGGGAAAAAAATAGTAGTTTTGAGAAATATGTAACAGATTATTTTAAGCTATTAACTGGAAAAAAGGTGGGCGCTGAGAAGAGGAGCACTCTGTCCTCACACAGAATGCTAAGGTCTGTTTTTTCCTAGAAACTGCTCTGTCCAAGATTCCAAGCAGGATTCTTACACATCACTAGAAGTTTGATAGACAAAGTAACATTTTAGTCTAATTTGTAGCCAGAAACAACACTTGTGTCTTTAAATTAGGGCTTCAGTGCCTAAGTGAGTCTTTCCTCAATTTCTGCTCAACTGCATATTAATCCAGTGAGATCCTAAACACTATCAATAGCTTTTATTTTTTTAACCTTAAAGTTTAGAAGAATATTTAGGTGCCTTTTTCTATATAGTGTGCCCATAAGTAAATGATCTGTCAGATTACAAAGGTTGGTGTTTATCTCTCACCTAAATTGATTGGAATTGAAAAACTAGATACACCTGTACCTGTCATGGCCTTGATTTCAAAAGCATCCCCTACACACAAGAAGATCAGAAGACTTATAAAACACAGGAATGGCCCACTTCTTTCTGTACGAATTCTTTTTGTTTCAAATGATCGTCCTCCTCTTTCTTAAAGAGGCTTAGTTGTGTAGAGCCTTCCACCAGGGTGATAATGCCTGTCTCTGCCTGAGAGAGACTTAAGTACTATTCAAACATATACTTCAGACATGGTCACCTTAACCACCAGACTAGAAGTCATTCTGGGTCTGAACACTGGCAAGAAAAACTGCTCCTATATGAAGTGTAGGAATCCTGACTTTGTTTCTATACAGTGGGGCTGAGGGACAGTATGACTAACAGAGATTTGCAGCATTGTTGGCAGTCCTGAGTTCTTGTCAAAGACTCTGCATCCACTAATTGCTTCTGGCTTTAACATTTTGTTTTTAACAATTAAGAAAATGTGAAAAAACCTTCCAACTCACACAGAAATGGAAGAGTAAGGGAGGTTTTCAGGATACAGGTGAGAAGAACCACCTGCCATCAGTGCCTGCATGTTTCTGGTGCTTGCAGCATCAAATACCAAGATAGGAAGGGGCAGTGGAGAGACCTGTGCTCTGGCTCCTGTGCTGCCAGCACAGAGAAGCTGTGGTTCCTCAGCTAGGAACTCATCAAATGTGGTCTGAATATGTTAGCAGAAGCCCTCTGCACTTGTTGAAAAGACACTTTGATCCGAGGTAATACAGGTATCTGATATGTAGAAATCCTAAAGACATGAAGCAAATGATGAATCAGCTAGCTTGCTTTTAGTTTCACAATCCTAAGTTACTTCTCTGTCTCAACCTCCTACATAGCATCTTGCAAAAGCCTCCACCAGATTAAAACAAATCCCACAGTCTCAGGGTGCTATTGCACCACAAGATATTCCTGTTTGTCTTTAGTGTTGTAGTAAAAAGTGGAGTATTTACACAGCCATACTAGGTATCAGGCTTTCCGATATTTCCTTCACAGGTGGCTAGGTGATATTTGCCCTATTTGAGAAAGAGCCTTTGAGCAGACACTAGTCAGAATAGTGAGTGGAATTGATAGTCTTTGGGAGTCCTCAGGCTTGAGAAGCTGTAGAAGTGGTGGGGTTTTTTTCCTGATACAGGTGAGTTTTGATTGTCCACAGTACTTTCCAGCCAGCTCTGACCTCAGTGCATCCTCCTCAGGTGTTCAGAGTGCTGCAGTAATTCATCCTGACAGTATTATAGCAATGCTGGTAGTTTACAGTAAGGTTTTTCTCAAAGCTAGTGTGGCCTGAATGGAGCTCAGATACAGAAGCTAAGACTTAATTAAAGCAAATAAACAACCTCTGTATATTTCAGAGATTGCTTAGGAATACCCTGCTCTATTTTCTTTAAACTCCGTAGAATAATATTTGATGAAACTAAGCATTAATCAAAAAGCCTACTGCTGTCACGTTTTTAAATGTAGCAGTAGTTTTCCCTAATGGAGAAAACTGCACTGATTCCATCAGCCTAAGTATTTTTTTCCCAGGAGCTAGTCAGTGCCTTTCCTCCCAAGCCAGTTCATGAGCTGAATGAGAATTCATTAGGCTATGCAGGAGCTAAAGTGAGTTATAATTTCTGTAGGCAGGATTTGACCTCTGTTAATAATGGATTAAGGCTGGTGTTTTCGAAGAAGCCTGGCGGAAGCAGGATTTCACTAGGAATTGGACAGCAGAGGAATTTGGCATTGCACCCGTGCCTGTGAGGATGTCTGGGTTTTATCGTGGTTTTTGTACTGAAATCAAGTGCATTCATTGCTCCTGTCAAAAGGCAGAGGAAAGCCAAGATCTAGTTTTGATGCCACCCAGCTGAGAGCATTATAAGGTTAGCAGTGAGGCTGCTTTGCTTGCCAAGGGAGAAAATGCAGTGGAACAAGGGTGGACTTGCTGAAATAGTGGTGGATAAGATCATACTTATGATATATACAATTATTAATTTTCATTATTATGAACAGTCATAACAAGTTGTGATGGGTAACAACCAGCTAAATACTGCCCAAAAGCTAGTTGTATGCCAATCACTTCTTATTTTTTTAAACCCCAAGACAGCCAAGGCATCCAAAAAGCAAGTGCATATCGGAGTCCTGAGTTGAATGTTTGATGAAGTCTGGAGCTGCCAAAGCTTTCTGTGCTGGTTATTGTGAAATCGTTTCCATGCTGCTGACGTGAAGCACAGTGCAAGTGCAGGCTGAAGTTGGGTTCTCAGTGTGTTCTTTGTTTTGTAGGGCTCATCTGGTCCCGGTGTTTTCCTTTGGTGAAAATGAACTATTCAAGCAAGTTGCAAACCCCAAAGGGTCATGGCTGAGAAATGTGCAGGAGAAGTTGCAAAAGATAATGGGCTTTGCTTTACCCCTGTTTCATGCTAGGGGAATATTCCAGTACAGTTTTGGCTTAATACCTTACAGAAAACCTATTAATACTGTTGGTAAGTTTCCTGTGCCTTTTCTAATGCTTTTCCAAATGTTTAGAAATGCGTAAGTGTGCTACTAATATCTGTGTAAACTTACAAATCTAAGGGAAGCAACTGGTTGTTGTGCATCTTAAGTATGTGAGGCTTAAAATATTTTTTTTCTTTTTAATTCCTATTCTTCCCCAATTAAAAGGGGGGTTATTTTCTCCCTTTCCCCTGTAAGTCCCAGGCTAAATCTGATTCATCATTCAGTTATTCACAGGCTTGTACCCTCAGCAGTCCTCAAAGAAATCCAAGGGTTGTCCAGTCTGTACCAGAGGGCTGCCACAGCTCTGAAGAATCTGTCACTGCAGATTCTGGATGTTGCAGTTGTTTTTGTAAGATGCCCAACACCTTCATTTTTTAGCCCGGCAGAGAAGCAGCAGTTGGGTATCTCAGCTGATGCAAGGCTACTGGGAGGAGCTGGGACAGCCCTGACCTGCTGCTCACCGGGACAAGGCAACAGAAAGAGGAGGGAAGGGAGAGGGCACCTCGCAGGGGCTCTGTCACAGCCCTTCAGCAGGCTGCTGCTTACTTGGCATTGCAGCTCCCTAGGGTGTTTCCTTCCCTTTTGGTTTATCCTAGTGGAAGTATTCATTCCTATTTAATTGAGAGCATGCATGCCATGTCAACACACAGTTCAGAAGAGGTTTGTATGTTCTGCAACATTTCCTTGAGCTGATGACATCAAGGCTGTTCTCTAGCTTGAAATGTCTTTTGAGGCCGATCTTCATCATTGTAATACTTACGCCAAGGGCTCCACCTCCAGTGAGGAGGTAGCCTGTGGCTAGAGCACTGGAGTGCTACGAATCAGCAAGACCACAGTCTTGCAGCAGAACTTGTTGTATGATCTCATGAAATGTTTTACATTTGGTGTTTCTGTTCCCTCATGTTTGAAAGCTATCACCTTGTCCCTGCATTCCTTGAGGTGGGGTGGAGGGTCTTGATGTGGATCAACATGGCTTTGAAAGTGTTAACTCAGCTCCTGAAAGTTGTAGGGTCACATTGAGCTGTACTCAAGCCAGTTAGCCATGGTGATTACGTGGTCAGGTATCAGTGAGCTTCCTTCTGATTCAGAAGCCCTGAATTGCATCTCTTAAAGCAAGGAGATGCAATTCAGCAAAAGCAAGGTTTGTGAAGTCTGAATGTTTTGGGCTTGATGAGTGAAGTATTCTTGTTTTTCTAGAAGATTATTACTGCTTTTCAGAAATAGAATCAACTCTAAAATAGCAAATTAAGGAGGTTGCTTAAAGCTGCACAGAAAATTTGAGAGATGAGTGTTGTTTCCAGTTCCACAAGAACTCTCCATTCTCAGGGGAAGAGACTTGCAGAAGGGTTTGGGGGTGGTTTGGTGTTTCCAGTCATCCTTCTGTATTGAATGCCTCATTGTGTTGAATGCACATTCATATCACACCCCCTAAGGTATTGCTCAATCCAGGGCTGGGTTTCCACCCCTCGCCACGTAAAGTCTGAATCCCAGCACCCTGTAGGGCCCAAGAACTGTTGGCAGTGGAAGCTGCAGCAGGGAAGTGCAGAATCAGCCCCTTTGTGGTTCTGGCTAAACTTCCCTTTAGTCAACACCATCCAGTCTGAAGTGGCAACATCTGTTGAAAGGGATTTTCAGATGCCTTTGTAAAAGCTCCTGCAGGGAGGGGGCTTTTGACTCTCTGCTTTTCTACAGACTTCCTCTGTAATCTCAGTTGGGTCTGTTAAGCTCTCAGTGTTTCCAGTGCAAGAGCAGCTGTCAAAATCTGTAATGACTGAACAACACAAGGAAGACTGAGATCATGGGAAGCTTCTCTCAGCGTATCACAGGTTTTTTAGCTAGAGCTTTTTGTGAAGGAGGAGGCTGCCCTTTGGACTTCCATGTCATTACCTCCTATGCTGCCTCTTGCTCTCACATCAATAGAGGAGGTAGCAGGTTTTGTGCAGTGCCTGGAGAATGTATTGGTTGGAATTGTATTTGTGGGCAATGGATAGTTCAGAGGCACCTTACAGGGTCTGGGGGTTTTCATGTGCTCCTGCTCTCAAGGCTGAGGTAGCCAACAACACGTCTGGCACTGGTGCAGCAATACCCATTCTGATAAATTGGAAGATAATCTGTATTTCCTTCAGCCCTGTTGATGTGGCTGTGTGGTTGAGGGTACCACTGTCCTCTTGGGTATGTCCTTCACCTTGGATACCTTTACTATTCAGATCAGAACAGAAGATGGTGACAAGGTACATTTTTTAAGTACTATTCTAAACTTGTGGAGTACTACCCTGATTGCAAGACAGCAAGCAAACAGCTTATGGGATTGCGTGTTGAAGTGTAAACTGCTCCTTCAAGTTAGCTATTAACCCTCTTGTTTATTTTTATGCTGCCAACCTGAAATGATGGGGTTTTAAAATGAATTTTATCTGAACTTGAACAAAAGGAAGTGGAGAACCAGACCCCAGGACTCAGGTTTGTGAAAGGCAGGATCAGGCCCTGGGGCAAGAGAATTGTGCTGTGATTCTGCCACCTCACTGGGAGCTGTGGTGGAGCTGTTACAGGAGGAAGAGCAGGTCTACTTGAAAAGAGATGTCACTGGAGCTAATGCTGCTGTTGTGTTTGATTTACAGTGGGAAGTCCCATCCCTGTAAAACAGAGCTTGAACCCTACCACTGAAGAGATTGAACAGCTGCATGCATTGTATCTACAGAAACTAAGAAAGTTGTTTGAAGAACACAAAGGAACCTATGGGATCCCTGAGCATAAATCTCTCATCTTTGAGTAGTACGTTACAATTTGTGATTCTAAATCCCATGGAAAAAAACAGTGTATGCTGAAAGGTGTCTTTCCTGCAATCTGTATTTTGCAATCTATAATTGTCCTTGTGTAAGGAATAATTTTAAGAAGGGATTATTAGATGATTTATTGATTTTTATCTTAATCTTGGGGGGGGGAGATGAAACATCCTTAGGGTGTGAGCCTTGAATCCGGTACTGTTTTGAGTTGTCCTTTTAGGTTCATCTGTACCAGAAATGCTAGTGAGTGTCTCAACACAGATGTTCTTGCCACCATGGTACCTAACCATTGCTTGAGCAGAGGAAATTGCCCCAGCATGACAGAAGTATAAACCCAACAGACTTTTGATTAGACGTTGAGAGACTTCACCAGCATGCATCAAACATAACATCAGGTTGTTCTCGGAACATCAGAAAATGCTGTTGCTGTTCCATAGAATTGAAGATGCATGTTTTCAGCAGATGGCTATTACAAGCCATTTACATGTGAATTCAATAATAAATAGGAGCTTTTGGCCCTATACTGGAGTATAGACAAAAGTGGTTTGTCCAGGTTACGGAGCAGAGTAAACCTATTTGGAGAACAGTGTGTTGAGTTTTCTGTATACATGTATATACTGGGTGATGGGAAGCCCTGAATGATGTGACTTTTTTGCAGAAACTGTGCTTTGGATTGTCAGTTTGGAAGACGAAGCAGCATTGTTTGGTAGTTCCAGCCTCAGAGGAGATGTCAGGCACAGGACAGAAGTGTACCAAGGAGCCTAGTGGGGGAATCATATAAACTTTAGTTCTTGTGCACATTAGGAAAGATCATATCCCAAGCCCTGCCACAGAAGGAAGGGGAGCGCAGCTTTTCAGTCTAGTTCTGCAGCTTCACCACGGAAGGGGTGTACTTGATATATGCCTCTTTCTTCCCCACTGATAGATGTAGAAAGCTGTGCTGCACCGTGACTGTGAGCTAAAGATAAGGATTGTTTCAGCTCTTGGAAGGGCATGTGTCTAGGGAGGTCAAATACAGTAGGATCGATACCTGGGAAGAGGTGTCTAGGGTCCTGAGGACTGTAGTACGTGATGAGCCCTCAGCCAGCTGTGTGAAATGTTCTTTGGATTTGTTTTTGTGCTGCCTGCCCCAGGAGCAGTAGTGCTGATTATTTATGAAAGAAGAATTTGGAGTCTGTGTCACTGTTCTAGATCATCTGCTCTAATGAGGTATTTCCTCTCATTCTCAGTCTGCTCTTTTCCCACTACCTTGATGATACAGAAGCTCAGGATGTAAATTTTAATGCATTAGTGTAGGATTCAGTATGGGAAGTAACAATGGATTGTTGTTGATCAGATTAGCCAAAACTTCTAGGGAACTATGTGAATACTGATTTTGGGGCAGTATGTAGTCCAGAGGTTATCCTACAGACAGGCTTACCTCTGAATTCAGTGAGCAAATTATCTGTGGGTTCTGAGTACCATCTGTAACTGGCATAGGTGAAAAAGTAGGGATTGTGTTACTGTGACTACTGATACTTTCATTCCTTTGTAACACAGGAAGATGGAGAGAAAAAAAGAAACCAAAATCTTTAAGCTACTTAAATGCATCTTGTTGCTTGGTAACTGCTTCATATTGCTTATGATGGCCCTTCCAAACTATGTTTTATTAACAAGTTTTCTAGTGTACCTAGGGCTGTTGTAGCATAGAGTATCAGTCTCTTAACCTCATGGGCGAGGTGTCATCAAAAATACTTACCTCTCTGTTAGCATGTGGGTTTGTGAAACAGCCCTGCAATACTGAGCCTAAAGGCCAGAACCCTGGAAGCCATAGACCCACTGTGGCTAGTGCAGGCATCAGTCCTGCCACTGCTGCAGCCATGAGGAGGCTTCCTGTGTTTGTTACAGTAAGCATCAGCACAGACTTCAGCTGCAGCTCATGCTTGAGAAATCATACTTGACCAAGCAGGGGGTAGGAATGGTGATGCCCTCTCCTCCGCTGTGATGAGAACAATCAGGTAGTGCTCAGATTTCTGGTGGTATGTCCACACTCACTGGGGCCTGCTTTGTCCTGTGTTTCTCTTTGTGCCTTCTGGTGACACAGACAATCCCAGGGAAGCCAGTCATCTACAACCAAGCTAGGTGCTCTGTCTCTGTACCGTGCACGCACTGCCTCCCCAGTGTGCTCAAGGTGATACTGCCTGTTCCCTTGAGCGTGAACATTTCTCTGCCAAATTTTGTTTACACAGAGTCAATTCTCAGTAATTTTACTTTTGAACTACAAAGCGTATTTTCCACTTTGTAACTTTTTATGGTACCTGTAAAATATGAATGTCTGTTGTTTCAGTGATGGCTGTGGCAAGGAGGTGTGAGATAATAAAAGTTTGTATCAAAGTGTGCTTGTGTTGACTGCAATTCAAATATGTATCACTGCTGTTGGGTAAGGGCTTCATCCCTTCAACCTTAGGAGCCTGACTAAGCACAAGAGGTCATGTTAGACCAGCTATAAGGCTGCAGTCATAGCATGCTGAGGAGCTGGATGGTGGGAAAGATGGATTGATTGCTTGCTGCAGGCTCCTTAGGCATCACCTGCAGCCAGGCTCCTGCTGGAAGTCCCAAAAGGTCTGAGGAAGAAGTGGCCTGTGTCAGGAAAGACAGAGCTGTGGGACACAGCGGGGAGCTGGAGCATGGGAGGGTGGGCACTCCTCTGGGGAGCTGGTGAAGTAACAGCTTGTGGAGTTGAATTCAGCTTGAGGGTAAGTTTGAATATTGAGTGAAACTTACATCAAGTCTTAGTATCTGTACCCTGGAAAGAGGAACAAACCTCTGGCTAACTCCAGCAGCTGGGGAACTGAAGAGCTGCTTGGAGTAAGAAAGTGCCTTTGTTTGTGGGAAGAGGAGAAAGAGCCACCTTAAAATAGTGATATGTGTTTGGGTTTTACAAAAGTGACAATGACAGTTGTCGATGTTTGTAGTAACAGCGGCAGTGACAAGTGAATTCCCAAGCCTGGGAAAGGCTAAATGTGGTTTGTTACTGCTTTAATACCTTATGTACAGAACAATCTCACCTTGCATCTCTATACTATAAAGGGGAAAATGCGTAAAAAGGGCCTTGGATTGCTTTGAAGTAGTCTCATTACACCCATTATACCCACATCTCCCATTTACACGAGTGCATGGAGGCACTCATTATGTGTGTGTAAATGGGAGGTGTGGCATGGTCTATCAATGGATTATCACATCCTGATTTTGCTGAAATGCTGAAAAGCACCAAGTTACACCTGAAAAACAAGAAAAGGATAAAAATAAGGAATGGAGAGCAACTGAATCTTCATGCTTCCCAAACTGCTGGAGCAGCGCTAGTCCTTATCAGGAGTGGCTGCTTGTGGCGGGTAAGGGGGGTGGTCTGTCCATACTCAAGAGGTTGACTCTGAAGGGAATCGGGTGGCCTGGTGGGTGTAGGCAGTTTTTCAGCTGATGTTTCTTAAGGTTGGTATCAATTTTGTGTCAGATGAAGTGCTGGAGCAATGCCTGCATTGCATATCTTAACAGTCCCTCATCTCTTAACAGAGCTGTAGAACTTGTTAACAGAATAAAGCTGTAGATAGGGAAGAGGAAAAGAAAGAAGTTTTTTTACTTCATTTAGTCATATGCTGGAGACTTACATCCATCTATAACAAGTAACTAAAAGAAGGTGAGGAACTGTATCTTTTATGGTTGCCTCTGTACTCTTAACAGTAAGCTTCGCAAACAACACAAGCTTGGGAAGAGGCTTTTGCAGTGCAAAGAGGAAGAGGTTCCCTTGCAGTGTGCTGGGATCAAGGAATACTGTTGCCTTTGTATGTTCAGTTTGGCAGGCATCTAACCTGGTCTCCTTTCAGTCTTGAGCTGTAGTAAGAATCACAACTGGTGGCCAAATGACACCACCTGTTCATGCTATTTATCCTCAGTTAAAGTTCCTACTGACATGAATGGAGCCCTGCTGCTTTTTGAATGGCTATGATGAAATTTGATAAACGGGCCAAGAAAGAGCCCAGCACGTTGGCCATGAGCTTTTCTTAGCTAACATGAACTCGCAGTGACCTTTCCTTCTGCAGTCAGCAAAGCAGTATTTAAGCACAGAGAATAGATCTGTTGACTGGAAAACTGACATTCTCTCTATTGCAGAGACTGTCCTGTAGAGACACGAATTATAGTGTTCTCCTGGGCAAATTACTTAGGACTAATTTTTAGACATAATATGGCCATATAAGTGCTTTAGAATGCATTGAAGTGAAAGTCTACATTAAACCAGAACCTAGGGGTTTTATTTGTTGCTAACATTTGTGCTATTTCTTTAAATTTGTTACTGTAAGTATGCAGTAAAAACTATATTTTTTTTATTTAAACAAGCATTTTTTTCATTATTTCCCCCCAGATCACTCCTGCCCAGCAGAGGCCTATTTAAACACAGAGTGCAGCTAAACCATGGCAGCCTGCGTGCTCTGTGCCACTGTAGTTCTTGCAGAGGTGGCCTAGGCTGAGCCCTGCCTGTTTGCTCGTAGGCGCCTGACGCCGTGCGCAGAGCATCACTCACCACTCGTTACTTACGTGGGACCTGGCTCAGCTCCGGTAAAACCACGTTTCGGGTGAGGATGTTACTCTCTGCCTTGCGGCTGGTCCCGCCCGGAGGCAGGGGGCTGGTACCTGGGGGGGGAAAGGCACCGGGACCAGCCGTGCAGAGCTCCGTTAGCGCCGCCAGGTGGCGCCGCCGGGCCGCGTCCCGTCCCGCTGCGGTGCGGTGGGACACGGGCAACGCAGTGTCCGTGCCGAACGAGGCCGCTCGGAGCGATGAGGGCAGCGCCGGCCCCGGCCGTCGGCGGGAGCTTAGAGCGAGAAGCCGGGGTCATGGCTTTCCTGGCGCGGTGCGCCGCAGGAAAGGTTAACGTGCTGCCAGCAGCTTGCAGCGCGAACCAAAGGCACGGGTTCTATGTGAAGTACTCAGCATCTTTCTGCTGTTGACTGCGGATGCAGAGGTCTTTTCGGGTGCCCGGCAGCTCGGAGTATAAAGTGTGAGCCCTCAGAATCTGTGCAAATGAAGACCTGGTGGTCAGGAACATCCCTGTGGCGTCACACAGGGGAGTGCTGGCAGGCAGATGTTAAGGGAGCCGGATTTAGCTTGAGGTGGATAGTTGCATGTTGAAGAGAAACATTTGTGCATCCTCAGGCATTGGGGCTAACAGCTGAAGTATGCAGAGTGCAAGGTTAAACATCTCTAGATGCTTGCTCCATCTCATGTCTCTCTTGCTTGCAAAATCTTGTGGTTTAGAATGCAGAAGACTTCTAATGTAAAAAGATTTCTAATGTAAAAAAGTATCGATGTGACTTGTATTTTATTACCATTTTTTAAAAACAATGGGTCAATTTTGCTTCTTATATAAGCCACGTGGAATAAGAAAGGCTTTGAAAACTGGGGAAGTTTACTATTCCATGCCTTGACTCTCAGGCAGTGGTAGGCAGCGTTATCACGTATTCTGTCTTTATTACCTCCATCAAACAGAGTTTTGTCAGCTGCGAACCAGAGAAAGAAAAGTCTGTAATTGGACATAAAGTCTTTAGAGGTGAAAAATATTTGCTTTACTATTGTATAATGCATGGGTGGAGGAAATGTGTGTTATTGCTGCAGCTCGGTTACAAGTGGTGTTGTATGAAATGCTGTAGACATGGCTACCCCTTATAGACCAAGATAACCACTGTTATTTATGGCTTCAGAACAGGAAAAGCATTGTTGGAAATCCTGAAATATTACATACCATTGATTTCCGGAATGAGCCATTTGAACACATTGCCTTGGCACTCTTTTGGGGAATGAGCAGGCCCTATGTAAACACATTGCTGCCAATGGGCATTTTACCTGAGTAACGATTGATTGTTAGTCCAATTAGACTGGACTCAGCCTGTGAGAAGTGGAGCTCCCAGGAAGCCTTCCACCTTCTCACCTTCTCCTGCCTGTAGGGATGGCTGGCTGTTCAAACTGCGTGGCTTGCTTTGGCTTGTGAGTCCTCACTTTGATGGAAACGTGTATTAGGTTTTTAGTTTGGTATGAGAACAGTGGCTTGTGGCTTGACTTCGCTGTGGCTCATGTCTTGATGTAAGGATGTCTTCTGTGGGACTGCTCTTAGAAACTTGTGAGATTGTCATCAGAAGTGGGGCATGGGGTCAAAGCTGACGATTTTCTCTTGGAAGGAAAGGTGTGAGACCTTTCTTAAACCTGCCTGCGTGTCCTGCCCAGCTTTTGTGTCTGCCTGCTGCATCCTGACACTAACGGGAATGGTGTGAGAGATTTCTGTTCCCAGAGCTGGGCAGCATCCCCTCACTGTAAGAGACTGCTGCTCTTGAAGAGAGTTTCCCTGCTGACGGGCCAGCCTGTTACATCAACTGCTCCCTGACAGCGCTAATCTGCATTACATGGGATTAAACAGTAATTAACTTGCATAAGCGCTTTAGCAACTTGCCCTTTGAATTGCGGTGTGTCCTGTATGTAGAGGTGCACAGCATCTGTAAGGTGGGGACAGCACAATGGTAAGATGGGGAGAAGAAAACAAAGCTGACGTTTCAGCCATAAACAGTGAGGAGGACAGAGAAAGCCCACACAGACAAGCTGAAATAGACACTGTCATTTTTTTTGAGGAGTCAAGATATGCTGAATATCTTACAGGTATTACACTATAGGGACTGGTATCCACGGCTCTCTGTGGATCCAAACAACCATAGAAGAACGGCTCCATTTCCTGTCCTATGTTAAGTATTATTCCAGGTGAGAATTTACCTAAGAATTTACTATGTCAGTTTTATAGTGTTTCCTCATCAAAAAATCACACCTTTAACTGATTCTTACTGCTATGCTTGGGAGATTCAGTTCAAATGTGCATCCCTAAGCTGAACTAAAATGTAGCTATGTCAATAGTTTTCCCCAGCTTCTACCCTCAGGGTATGGATTCTGCTCAGTGACCAAGCAACTGTAGCTTTTAGGGCATCCATCCTGAGAAACACTACAGAAATAAATCCAAAGCAACGTGTCTTTTCACTAGTGTATGGCAACTCTTAAATATACCTGATGCAGCTAATTCAGATCTGCTTTGAACCAGACAAACAGCAGGGAAGGCTGAAATGCATTTGCCTGTAGCATCTTCTCTTTCTTTGAAAACATACAGTGCCAGGGGAAAGGTCTTGAAGTCAAAACCTTTCTTGCCTCCCCCAGTAGACAGTGTGTTCTCCTGGGCCTTATGTGTGAAACTGGTTCCAGTTTCACATGAGGCAAAAGTGAGGAGTCATCAGCAGGGCAGCTGAAATCTGCATGGCTCAAGGAAAAAGGGCTGATCCAGTCTGGCTCGTGGTCCACGTGGTTGCTTGGTTGT